TTTGGGCCTTTTCATGCCTATCAGAGTGAAAACAGCATGGCTGAAATATTTAAACTAGATAAAACATTTTGAATAGTAAATAAACCCTAAGCATACTGTAAATAGTAGAATTAGGATTTATTGTGCAGCTCACGTACTAAAGTTATTCCTGATCGTTGGAGCCAATTTTTAAAAAAGTCACTTGTTCTGTCGTCTTCTACTTTCAAACAAATTCTCTTAATTTTTAAGGAAAGAGAAGTAAACTGAAAATTTTTATTTTTTTTATGGGAAAATATTACTGGGCACAGACCAAGTTGGGAACCCAATTCATTAATCGGTTACATCAGGACAGTATTAACAGTCCTTTATCTAACTTGCAGTATATTGACAAATCAGTTTTAATATATGTATTCATGGGCATGTGAGTGAAATACTATCAAACATTTAAATACGGCGTATTCTCAGACTGAGAACACAGCGGATCACTGTCGAGGGAGACGTGATGCAGAGTCATTTTCTGTTCTTCGGTTTCTACTTTAATTTTCTGGATGACACATAGCAGGTTCTCACTTCTTCTATAGCTGCTCTTATCTGTCAAAGGCAAACCTTTAAATAAATAATTGTAACCCTGTCAAGTAAGTTGAAAAAAAATATCTGCAGCTGTCCTTATGAAGTCCCTATGTATGCATCTCAAGGTGCTTTGATGTGTAACATTTTAAGCCCAACTGAAAACGCTTAAAACTCGTATTTTTAGTGGGTGAAGCTAAATTTGAGCTTATCCCTAACTGTACCTTTACCATTTTAATAATCACTATGAGTGTCACTTAAGCTGCAGTAATTAAATCAACAAAATTCAAAAAAGAAGAAGATATGCTAAGTGCTTCACGGCTAATGTTCAGAGTGGGAATTTTCTGATAAAGTAAATTGTATCAGCACACATCCTTGTCTACTAAGTTAGACTTAGACAAAAAGACTTCAAAAACACTTCACAGCGTGCCGTAAAAAATGTAATCCCTCTATAAGATTCACCAAACTTTTTTCAAATGCATGTTATGAGCTGTCTAACCAAATCACAGGCTGAATTATGCTCTGAACGGATTAAGGACTGCATTTATTATACCACACTTCAGAGTTAGGGTGCACGTTCAGAGAAAAAAACAGAGGTATGGAGAAAAAAAGTGATCTCAACCTTATCCCAACTATATTCTCCAAATAACCTGTCATATAATTAACTTTATATAAAAAGCTTACCGCTCTCAGCGCAGTCTGCTCTCACCATCTGTTACTATTTGTATTTTTTAAGTTAGGATTAGATTGTTGGTGGATGTCTAGAAATATTAAGCGCTAGCTGCGCAAGAGGCTGTTTCCACCAATAGAAATATGCAAGGCAGCTAATTAATTAATGTGAAGTGAACAATGTATTTCAGAGGACTCCTTCACATGACTGATGAACGGTTTAGATGGGTGTTTACCAAAGGATGAGGCATGAATGACAACTACCTTAAAAACAGTAAATTTTAAATGTATGGGAGTGGGAGTGTGTTTGGCGTTTCTCTACCCGGCAACAGAGAGCTGAGTCATCTCTGTCACAGCACTCCCACGCCTACCCACGCTGCACTGCTCTCAGTCTCTCTTGGCGGTGGAGATGCATGGCCACGGACACGATACCAAAACTAACTGCATCACTTCATTCTGGCCCACAGGTGACAAAAACATACATTTACCGTAAACGGGGGGAGCCTTGGCGGAACAGGGCTGGCATAGGTGGGTGTGAGTGCATTGTGTGTATGTGTCGTGTGTGAGTGAGTGTGCCATCTGACAATACATGGAAACTGATACCACTTATCAAACATTACGAAAAGTGCGTGGACCGAAAGGAGTGTTTGAAAGAGCAGAGAGCAAGAAAGAGAGTGAAAGAGTTGTGTTTCTATGTACATATTTTGACCTTAATTTCATACAGCCCAAAGTGCTTCATAAAGCATGATTAGTATTGCGCAGACCAAGCATGGCCTAACAGTTAGAACTTAATGAAGCTCAAGGTCAAATACATCATTCCAGTGTGAGTAGAGAAATGGCACTGCTGATGCATTTTTGGCATGTTAACAGTTTAAAAGGGATTTACATGTAAAAAGGGAAATCTTTCATCTTAAATGATGATTTAAGCCTGAACATGAGGCAGATGTAAGGCTTCCCAGAAGTCCACATTAACACACTCCCATAATATTTGTCTGATTAAATAACCCCATGTGACCTAACTACCTCCGGGCATTTTGTTTAGCTTGCACAGCTGTTCACTTTATCATGTTTTAATTAGTCGTTCGACTCCTGTTTTCAGCATGAATGTTTTTGTGCATAGGACATAAATGACAGGTTTGTAACTTCTTGAGCCCAAATTATACTTTCCATGTCCAATGAGCCACAAGGAACTGAACACTGGCAATAAATTCTCCAGCTGCATATCTCAGAGGTTTTGAGCCATGTCACGACATCCACAGGCTGTATACGCGAACAAGACTCAGCATATCTCCTGTGTTTCTGTCTCAGCATATTACTGGACAGAAACATAGAGCAACTGTCTGCATTTGTCCAAGTGACAACTTTGTACAAAAATACACATCTATGTAGTTAATAAGTTTAAAAAAAAGGCTTTTGTAGAACGTTATGTAAAATATTGACTTTGACACTATCACATCAATCATTGGTTAATGAAAAATGCAGTAAGAAACTTTAAGCTGAGCATTTTTGTTGTTGCTATTTTGTTATTTGTATGTGACAAAAGCAGTGAATCTGACTAAGAAACTGAGGGAAACTCATACTGAAGCGATCCATCGATTACAAGCGAAGCCCACCCTAAAGCATACTGTACTTTAACGTCCTTTGGACAAATGAAAGCCATCATTTACAAAATGAACATCATGTTGTCTCAATTACACCTTGGAATTAACAACTGAAACCCTAAACTCATAAGGCTAGTGTTTACTGGCATCATAGATTGAGGGAGCTGAGGGTTATCTTCCCGTTAAAATCTATTAAACTGGGCCTCTACTTGCAAAAGGAAGAGTTGCCCCTTGCTGATCATTGGAAACCATGAAAGTTTAAGGCACTTACACACTGGCTTCACGTTCCAGAGCTGAAAGATTTTTAGCAAGCACAAAGCTAGAAATGCTCACTGTCCAGCTATCACGTTTTTCACGACATGCAAGACTGTGCCCGCAGCTACAATGATAAATGCAACTGGATAAAATGACCCTTTTTACTGATGCAGTTTGAGCCATTTTGTCTAAAACCTTCCTTATTTATTCAACTTTCATTGCAAAAATGCTCCTCCGTGTGAAAACATGATTTTAGGTGTCTTAGTGGGTTAGAACCATTAAGTTGGTGACTCAAACAAAGAAGTGGCTAAAAATATCACTGCTGCTAATAGATTTAATAGACAAAGTACAATATGAATCTCTACATTTTTATAGCCGACTTAATCTACACCAAAGAGCTGAGCTCCATTTGCTATACCTGCTAGATAAATAATTTAAACGTCACCTGTCACGAAAATGGCAAACTGGGGTAAAGGCTGTGTGGTGCAAAGTTGAATTAGATCATGAACAAATCTCTCACTTTTTTGGAAGCAATGTACCACACAGAGTACCAGCTAGAATCCCAGTAGCTAGTTCTCCAGTAGCTTACCCAGTTTAGTTTCATATTCGTCCATTTTTCTCACTCAAGAATTTAAATATGCAAGTTTCCATTTGTCACTGAATGCAGCATTAACATGAACTACAGCTGATATAGCTCGATTTTGTGATTTTGGTCAGATAAACAGATACAATTCAACATTTGGTGTGTATATGTTTGTTGTTTCTGTCACTGCAGATCAAACAGCAAAGCAATGCTCAGTTAGCGCTTGATGAAAATAACCTTCTAGTAATCTTCCAGCCTTTATTTACCAAGTGATAGTCTAATTACTTTTATTTATTTATTTACTTTTGCAATCTATGCCTCACTATATGTCTGGCACGTTATAATAACGCTGCAACCTGTGAGGCAATAAAGCCCTCACTTCTAGCTAGCCTACTCAAAAAGGCCTTTCCGTTCATTCAAAATGTGAATCTGGAGCGCAGCATAATGTTTGTGTTTTTGATTTTCCTCCTCATAAGCATGACTTTACACAGCTTACAGATCTTTGCGTCAGCGCAGGCTGTGAAACTCCCACTAACGTCACTAAAATACTCATTCTTGTACACAGACTGATCAAAGTGATTAACGTGCTCCTGATCTGGAACTCTTTGATCCCCTTGTTCCATCTGCAGACAGCTGCTTCAATATCACCAGGAGATATAATACCGCCACTTTCACTTTAGCCCTTTAGAGGTGCGGTCAGTGCGTCACACTATGATTAAATGACTAAGTTTAGAGTTATTGTACATGCCAAGTGCTGAATATAGCCAATATCTGCCACAACCTGTCCGACTGCCAACTAACTCAAAACATTTTTCTTCACAGTGCTATTTACCATCTCTTTCATTCTCCACTGTCCAATTGTTCATTACGTTTCCTATTTTTAACCCATCTCAGCAAAAGGCGAACCTGTGTTTTGCATGCTGTGCTATTTTGTGCTGTAGGAAAATATTGTGTGCTCTATTTTTAAAAAAGCAGCTTATTAACGTCTTTTTCTTTACTTAAGAGGGATAAAACGAACTCGAATGGCCCCGCAATCAAATTCACAAGGTTCCGAAACATTTGTAACATCTTCAGGCTAGTACCTGATTCCTTCCTGCTCTATAAGATTGTATTTTCTCTACTTTTATAAATACACAATGTGTGATCTTTCCTTTACTTTGATCTATTTTACCAAATGTCTTAAAGAAGCAAAGCTTTTCTACAACATCTGCAGAAATTACTACCGAGCGGCACACAGATTAAAATATGAAAGAAGAGAGTTTCCTAGAACTGTGTTTCTTCTAAGTCTGATAAACATCAGTCAGTGCTAAAAAACAAAGCTAAAGTCCAGCTTGAGGTTTACTTACCAGTTTGTCTCTCCTCATCCTCATCTTCATCAGAAAGTCAATGAGAACTAAAAGGGTAGAGAAAGAAAGAGAGAGAGGATAAAGAAGAAGGAATGTTTTAATCACTCTGAAGGAAGCCAGTTATCTTCCCACTCACATTGCTGAATATCCTAGTAAGGCAGACACACAGCACATGCACACTCTCTCATACACACACACACACACACACACACACACACACACACATACACACAAAAATACACACTCAGAGATGTCTCCAAAGGTCAAGATGAATCAGGGGGAAGAGAGAAAAGGTGGTGGACAGAGACAGAAAGGGTGAGAGTAAAATAGAAAATAAAGATCCAGAATAGAAAAGAAGAATGAATAGAATGTAAAGAGCAAAGCAAATGACAGAGGAAGGAGAGAGCACAGAGAGACTGGAGAGAGAAAGAATGAAATGCATGGCTCGGCTGAGTCATCAGTAACCACCACTTCCTCCAACGCACAGAGCTCTACTAATGACTGGCCAACTTCTGAGTGCACACACACACACACACACACACACACACACACACACACGCACACACACACACACACACACACACACACACACACACACACACACACACACACACACACACTTAACCTGCCATCTATCTGCTTTCCACTTCAAACTCTTTTCCTTTAAAGCAGGAAAAGAGTGTGTCTGTCCATCTTTGTGAGAACTAATTTAAATCAAAAACAAAAAACCACTGAAACTGAGGCTGTTTACGCTTGTCCTAACTCTGAGACAGCACACTGAGACAGACCTTCAGTGTGCTGTCCAAGGGTTTAGGTGGGGGTTAGGAATTTAGTTGTTATAATTGAAGTTTCTCCAATGTGCTTTGTAATTCCTTTTCTCACTGAGAGTCCTCACAAGCCTTAAAGTGCAAACATGTGTATGTGTATTTAGGAAAAAGCCTGAGAAGGCATGTCATGAGCCGACCCCACAGTGTGTGTCATGAGAAAATGGCACAACAACCAGACAGTTTTCCCTTTTCCCAGAATTCCCAGGGGCATGGTCTCTTAGCTTTCATGTGTTGGGGGAGTTGCTTTCCTTCACACCCACAAGCTAAAGGGCTGGAGAAACCAGGCTAAGTGCCTTGGTTAAAGAAATAGCTCAACAGTTGCATGTTTGAAGCTTATTGGTCTGATATCCACCAGTTCAAAACTAGGTCTATAACTTTTTTCATAAAAGAATGACATTTTTTAAATGAACTGACAGATTTGCTGGCAATAAAAGACAATCTTCCCAACTTCAGTAGATTGTACACCATTACTTGTTCTGACCAGCAGGCTTTACTACACAGGCTAGCTTTAAAGGTAGCACTAGACTGAGCACATGTTTAGTGTAGCTGAACTGTACTGAAGTACTGTAGCAGGACAAAAGCCCACTGACAACTCTAAACCTCACTTATTAACCACAAAGAATCTTGCTGTGTTCTTAAGGAGAATTGTAAAAAGTAACTAATTGGGTCTCTAGTAAACAAAGTTCTACCAAATTGTTCTACAAAGGAACAATTTCCTGATTACACTAGATAATTATCTTATGCACAACAGGTTGCCTAACATGCTATAATTTTTACTTTTGGTTTAGAACACCGTTAACCCTTTATAGGACACTAACTGAAATACTTGAAAATTCCAATTTTCAACCCTACACTTTTTTTAAACGTTTGTATTTCTAGAAAACTGGTCTACCGAGATTTTCCTGAACAACCATCTCTAGGATTTAGAGAGAAGTGTCTGAAAAGGAAAAAATATCCAGTTCCCACAGTTCTCTGAGCAAATATGTCTTGTTTATGTCAGAGGTCAGAAGAGAATGGCGAGACTGCTTTGAACTGACAAGAAGGCAACAGTAACTCAAATAACCACTCATTACAAAAGTATGCAGTATACAGCAACAGAAGACACCACCTGGTGCCACAACTGTCAGCTAAAAACAGAACACTGGGGGTACAATTTGCATGAAAGCATGGCTCCATTGTGCCTGTATCAGTGGTTTGGGCTGATGGCGATGGGGTAATGGTGTAGGGATATTTTACTGGCACACTTTGGCCTCTTTAGTACAAACTGAACATCATTAAATGCCACAACCAACATGAGTATTGCTGCTGAAAATGTCTGTTCCTTTATGATCACAGCATACCCATCTGTGGTTATGCTGCGATCATAAAGGGTATACCAATCATCTCAAACTGGTTTCCTGAGTATGATCATGAGTTCACTAGACTCAAATGGCCTCCACAGTCTCCAGATCTCATTCTGATAGAGCATATTTGGACTGTGGCAGAAAAGAAGATCTGCATCATGCATGTGAAGCTGAACAATCTGCAGAAACTGTGTGAGGGTATGAAGTCAATATGGATCTAAAATCTCAGATCAATGTCTCCAGCACCTTTTTAAATCTATGCCAGGAAGAATTAAGGTAATCCTGAAGGCAAAAAGTGATCAAATTCAGTAGTAGCAATGTGTAACTAATTAAGTGGCCGGTGAGTGTATGTAGTCACCAACAACCATATTTTTATGTCTTATAAACATGTAAAACTTGTTAACTTCAAAGTTATTTATAGGCTTTTTCTTCAGGTTCGACAAAGTGACAACATTAGAGCATTTCTCAAAAATGTTTAATCCTTAAATGCCCAGTTACCACTTGTGATTTAGGAAGTGTCTGCAAGTGCAGCATCAATGTACAAGCTATATATAATTGCACAAGTGAAACTCGGTAGATCTCTGAGGTCAAAACTGGGAATAAGACTGATGGTGAAAGTGCAACTTTAGGACAATAAGTCTGATGAACTGTAATGACCGATGACTCACAATAGCAATAACCTCAGAGGAAACAAACAAGGCTGGGCACAAGCTTTAAGCCACTTGGTGTGATTTCTTTTAAATCCTCCATCATTGCTTTTAAGGAAATGGCTTTATTTCACGTGAATGTGTTTTATTTATCAGAGCCCTTAAGCATTTGCATTTTTATCTTGACCAGCACTTTTGGTGACATTTAGAAACTTGTCACCTTGCCTGGCATTAATACATATTAACAGAGCATTAATACAACATATAAAGTGGGAAAAAATTACTGGATCATTCTGAAAGTGTATCACCCTATTGCTAATTCTTTGTTTTTTATATCCATACGCATCTACAGTAACTTTTCACCTGACATACTCCATTACAGTTTGCACTGACATTATGAATCAGTTTGCCTCTGGGGTTATTGTAATACAACCCCCCACGTCCAGCTCCATCTCCTATCCAGAGGAATTCATGGGAACTTTGAGCCAACTTCGTAAATACACGTTTCCTCCTCTGCAGTTCCCACACTTTTCCCAACACACTTACACACTTACACACACACACACACGCACACACACTCACACATACCCCTATTATATACCCATAGACAGAGACAAGTATAGACTTGGGCATGATGTCTCATGCAAATTGTGCATAGTCATACTGGCAGTAGCAGAAGATTACACCGGATGCTACTGTAGTTCAGGCTGGTTAATTACTGTATATTGCTGATGAACAGGATATGACAGTTTTGCAGCATTACCGCTACAATGCAGGCTCTATATGGTAATCTCTGGTAGAAGACCATTCGGCATGCATTAGCACATGCTTCAGTTACGGCAGTTTATTAAAAGGGAGATAGGAAACTTAGCTGCTCTGTGAAACTTGAATCGTTTTCTGTTTATTACAAATGAAGCAACAGAACCATATCGTCTCAGTACTCCCATTTCAATTGATGAGCGAAACGTGCTACAGTCGTAAGGCCTAAGACCATATAGCCATGTAGCATTTAGCTAAAAGCTAGGCTACATGTCAACTTCATCTTGTTAGTGCTTAATACAACAGTGCTGGTGTATGTACAATGCTAATAATCTTAAATTAAGACAGTGTGTGTAAAAGTGTATATCACGTCCAATTAGTGGGGAATAAAGCCACTGCAAGTGGGGTGTGAATGACCAGGGAAAATAAAAGAGTGAACGTAAACTGAAATAATATCATTTTTATGTGGAAAATAGACGAAGAAAAAAGAATATGCTTATGCTCGTGCTGCTCTGTGTTTAGATCTGTTTATTTTGTGTCCATACCTATAAATGTGGGGGCATGAACTGGTTTTTGAAGTTAGGCTTACTAGAAGAACAATAAAGTGTTAAAACCATGTTTATAGCGCTTTAAGGATTGGTCATCAAATAACATTTCAAATATATGAACTGGGAAAGCCGTAACCCGAGTAAGCACCCTACAGATTTCCCCAAATTGCCAACCCCTTGACTTTCTGCCATGCCACTGTAAATCACATTTACAAAGGCAGCTGAAGAAATGAGTCATGTGAGGTTAAATGGGCAGTGTGTGTCAGCATAAGTGGAAATCAGTCATCATTTTTGTGAGTTAAAGTAAAATAAGCCCACCAGTTGCTACCTGACTGGCTATTGTTTCATTTGAGAAGTCAGCAAAATACATAATGTAAGCTGTCCAAACAGAAACCATGTGGAGCCCAACAGAAAATCAAAGTATCACCTTTCTTATAATGACTTAGAGTTATACATGCTCTTATCATGACATGACTAGATTATTGTAATCCTTTCTATGTAGGTTTACCACAGTCATCACTTCGTTAGCTTCAGCTAGTAGAAAATGCTCTTTGACGTTTAACTGGGACGGGAAAACATGAACATATTACGCTAGTTTTAGCTGCACTCATTAGCTCCTTGCTAATTTTAGGATTAATATTAAGGTTTATTGATCGTTTCTCTTGATTGGCTTATTAATGAACACACTCCTGTAAGAGCCATGAGGTATGGTAATCAGCTGATCCTCAATATTCTAAGATCTAGACTTAAAAACCGAGGTGTCCGAGCTTTTTAAGCTGTTGCCCCGTGTCGTTGGAATACCTTACCATTTGATAATAGAACTGTTTCTATTTTTAAGTCTTTGCTCAAGACTCCATTCTGCCTCTGGCCTTTAATTCAAGCTAAGCTAAGCTAAGCTAAGCCTTGATATCGTATAGTTATCATTCTTGTCATTAATATTAATATCATTTTATACTGGCTGCCTGTGAAGCACTTTGGTCAGCCTTGGTAAAAGTGCTTTACAAATAAACTTGACCAAGAATTCAAGCCATTTCAAATTGCCAAGGCATTCTAGTATGAATAAAAGTAGATCAACTAATTGGGAACCACTCTTAAACCTTGCCATACCAAATAATCTCACAACCCAGAAGAAGCTGGGAAGCTATTACCCTGTAAAAATCTACAGACTCCTCTCAGTTAACAAAGACGTGCAATGAGCTATGACTTTCTAACAAACTCCAAATAATGTGATCATCATTAAACTTACAGAGAAAGACTTTCCCTACGTGCCAACTGTCTCTG